CCGCTTTGATTGTCAGCTCAAGATCTTCGGGGCAAGTGTTTTTGATAGTCGCAGAGATTTGACCTTATAAACAAAGATGAATAAGGAACAGTGCGAAGCCGATCGCAATATACAATTAATGAATTTCTAAATACCTTTCTCAGTGGAACTCTCTTTGTGGCAACTAGCGCTAAGAACTTTGATCTCTGGTTCTGGATGAGGGTAAATAAAGACAGTGGTGGAATCAAGCACCGAAGGATTTGTTAAGCTACACAGCTGTGGCGCAGAGGTTGGGCCTATTTAAACAAGTAAAGATGAAAAACACAAACCTGGCAAAGAAACATTCAGTTCTTCTAGGAGCTTGATTTTTTTGGGCCTGTCTGAGCTTGAGAGGAATTTCTCACTGTCTTGTCGAATCCCCTCGTCAAGCATACCTCTAGCATCACCTGGCTCAAGTGATGAATCTGAATAAGCATTACATTAATAGACCAGCTATCTTACCACATGGAGTAAAAGTAGAGGAAGTAGCTTTTCGCTTTGAAGCAAAGTATTCGACACTATTCAGATGGCTTTTTACAATATTGGTATTATCACATGGTTCGCTTGATGGTAAAATAGCATCGTCTTTATGCTTTATCTGTGGTGTCCCAACTAGTATTGATAGAGATTCTTCATCGAGCCTTGATAGGTCTTTCGATTTTGTGAATTTATAGTGAATTCTAGTCCTAGAATCACGGGAAATCTGTTCCATATTCATACAGCGCTTAGCGACCTCAATTTTTCCCGCCCTATATGAGCCATTGAGGGTAGCGAGGAGGTCTGAATACGCGGTGTATTGTGTAAGGCCGTCTTTAGGCGAAACGCCTTTTGCTCCAACGCCCCGCCTGTTATTCTTAGGGATTGCCTAAAAAATAATTTCGTATGACAGTACCTGTATAGGATCGGTACATCCATCCTCCAGTTTTCCGAGTCCGGAGCCGGGTCTCCATCCGAGCTTTTGAAGTAGCGACGACCCAAACGAGACAGCATCACTTGAGCCCATGTACCTGGCGCCAACCAATAC